ACAGAATTGTGTTTTGACTGGATGCAATAATTCTACTAACCATTTAGCAAGTTTATGCGTTGGGGATTCGCACGTTGACAATATAGGACGTAAAGGATTATTGGGTTTATGTATTTTTGGCAAACCATAAACATGCGGGAATTTACATTCTGATGGTTTTAAAGAGTCGAATGTATCTTTACTTATAGCATTTAGGCCATGAGGCTTCACTAGAATAGCTGTCACTTCGCCCTACAACAACTGAATACTCTCTGAGGAGGGATCATGGCTAAATTTGCTTTTATCATCGAGAATGGACATCATTTTAGGTTTGTAGTCACTTTTATTCATAATGACGACTCCAGAACCTTTATCAGTTTTCGTAATAATTATATTAGAATTTTCCTGTAGCTCTTTCAAGGCTTTGAAATGCTGGGAATTTAAAATACTTTTCCCCTTTGGGTTGGTGAGCTATACCCACCATCTTGGCCTTAAACCAACCCCCCGATCTTCATCGGATGTTGCGGCAAGAGGTTTGAGTTGGTCATATAAGTTTTCAAACTCAGCATGGATGGCTAAATCCGTAAATTGCGTGCGAGGAAACACAAAATTTGAGTCCAAAGGATAATCCTTCTTTCTGATGAGTAGATAGAATAATATCAGAAATATTTGTAACATTCTTATCAGGATTCACCGTTTGTGATCAGATTGTTCGAAATGTGTTGCGCAAATACATTACACGATTCAGACAGACAGATTACGTCTTCTTATTGCTTTATCTAAATTCATAAAGGGAACTAATTGTTTTATATTGATCCTGTCTCCATAGCGTGAAATCATTTAAACAGACTAGATGTACTATCAAATCGATTATGGTGCCAAGCTTCTTACAACATCACACTACAGTCGTATTCCTATAGAAATATTAGAGTAAAAGAGAGATCGTAAGAGATGGGGAGTTTGTATTAATCACCTCAGGAACATGAATCTAGTGTATTGATATATGCGTTTCAAACGACACTGCGCTACTCTCAGTAGGATGCGTTTTTTTTAAGTTCTGTTTATAAACTTGTAAATCAGCAGGTTGTAAAGAATTTAAAAATAGGTATTTACGAGAGTAAACAAATATGATTTGCCACTGTGTTTAAAGGAAATGACACATAGCTCAATAAGATGGATAGGTGTATTGGTAACTCAGTGTTCAAGCAAGCCACTGTACACTTTATATGCGTTTGAGAACAACCAAAAGCCTGTATTTATATGCCCCCCCCTCGCATTCATCAATATGATTATTATTATGTGACCAGCAAAGAGAATGGTACAATAAGATGAAGTTTACATATAGAAAACTTATACTAACCCTTCAGTGTGCTCGCTTTTCGGGGTTCGAACCTTAACACTGGAATTTAAACATAGTTTGGTCAAGTGTTGACCGCGAAGTAATTTGGAAACTACTCGAGTACTACGGCGTACCCCAAATATTCATCAACCTTATTCAACAGCTGTACGACAACGGCACATGTCAAGTGATCCACAAAGGAAAACTCAGCGAGGCGTTTGGAGTAAACACAGGAGTCAGACAAGGGTGCCTATTATCACCAATGATAGTCCTAATTGTGGTGGACTGGATTATGCGTCAGACAGTGGGAAACGAGAAGACAGGGAAATCCTGGACCGACGTGAAGAACCTAGAAGACCTGGATTTCGCGCGTGGATGATTTATGTTTGATGTCACACAAAATCGAAGACTTACAAGCGAAAACCGACCGACAAACTGGTCGAAGAAGCTAGCAACAAAGACAGGACTCCAGGTGAACATAGACAAGACGGAGGTTATGAAAATAACTAACCAACCAACAACAACAACATCCAGCGCCAATCACCATCAACGGGAGGGATTTGAAAGAGGTTACTTCATTCACTTATCTAGGGAGCATTGTCACAACTACAGGAGGAACGGACGAGGATGTCAAATCGAGAATCGGGAGGGCGAGAAACACATTCATCAACCTGGAACCAATCTGGAAATCTTCCGCTGTCACTCAGCATCAACAAAAAAATTCAGATTTTCAATACAAACGTCAAGTCAGTCAGTTCTTCTATACGGATCAGAAACTTGGAGGGTCACAAAGAATTTTTCCAACAGCCTGTTGCAGACCTTTATCAACAACAACAACTGTCTTCGCTGGCTCTATACTGAAGATCAGATGGCCGCCGGAAAGAATCACCAACAAGAAACTATGGGAACAAACAAAACAAGAACCAATCACCCAACAGATATGCAGGAGAAGGTGGAGATGGATTGGACACTCGCTGAGGAGGCCGCTGGGTGACATCGCGCGTCAGGCCCTTGAGTGGAACCCGAAAGGGAAGTGGCGAGTTGGACGTCCAAGGGTGACATGGAGGAGATCGTGTGAAGAAAAGTTGAAACAGTATGGATTAACATGGACACAGGTAAAGAGTACAGCAGAAGACAGAAGCAAGTGGAGACGTGCAGTTGAAGCCCTTTGTTCCACTAGGAACCTAGGGGAACAATAATATAATAATTAGTCAAGCGTTTCGTTCACCTAGCTATAGTAGTCTGCCCTAATGACTGCTGCCTTAATGTGGAATTACATAGCAAAACTGGATATCTAGGAAAGTGTTTGGATAAAAATATGAATTTAAAAAGCCACTGCAACTAGGCTAATATGTCAATAGATCTGCAGAAGCTCTTACTCTTCAAAAACTACACATTTCCTTGATGATGACATCAGTGAATGCAGTAAAAGGGGCGTATTCAATGCCTCAGTAATTCACTGTCTCTTTACAACCACTTCAATTTTATGTTTTCGGGAATTAACGATAAACTACCTAATTTTGTCTCCTCTATATGCATTGGTAGTTCGGAGATAGAATCCTCGCCAACTCCGCGGTGAATGAATTGTCTGGGTTTAGATCCCGCCTCCAGGCCAACGGATTCACTCCTAAACCTCGCTTAACCCTGGTAGTGTAAGTGTGGTAAATAGGCAAGGTATTGAAGTGAGGTTAGTAACCTCATCCCGTTAAAAAAATAAAGTGCACCTCTGCTACTGACAATTCGAAGCTGAAAGCCTAAAGCTGTATGTTCCACTCAGAACGCAAAGGATTGAACTTTTAAAAGATGTGTGTATCCTCTATCCAGTTTGACTATTCTTGTGGAGCCATTTCAATTTTGAAGCTACAATCATTCGTCTTCATCGAATTTCTGAACATCATCCTGTGTTGTAGTTAAGCAAAATGTGATGTATAAGGTCTGTTTGCAACTCTCTCTCTCTGTCCTAACTCACCTTGCCCCTCCCCCATCTTGGAGAAATGCACAACATTTGGTAAGAAAAGCCAACTGAAACAGGTGCAGTAGTACGCATTTGTTTAAACCCAAGAACATAATGATAGCTGAATATTCAAGTAATGATTTGTAGGGATTTCATCATGGGCTGACGTCAATTAGAGAACCACTGGAACCAATTATTATATTATATTATTGTTCCCTTGGGTTCCTAGTGGAACATAGGGCTTCAACTGCACGTCTCCACTTGCTTCTGTCTTCTGCTGTACTTTTCACCTGCATCCATGTTAATCCATACTACTTCAGCTCCTCTTCACACGATCTCCTCCATATCACCCTTGGACGTCCCACTCGCCGCTTCCCTTTCGGGTTCCACTCGAGCGATAGTCTGACGCGCGATGTCATCCAGCGGCCTCCTCAGCAAGTGTCCAGTCCATCTCCACTTTCTCCTGCATAATTATTGGGCGATTGGTTCTTGTTTTGTTTCTTCCCAAAGTTTCTTGTTGATGATTCTTTCCGGCTATCTGATCTTCAGTGGTATAGAGCGAAGACAGTTGTTGATAAAGGTCTGCAACAGGCTGTTGGAAATATTCTTTGTGACCGCCAAGCTTCTGATCCATCCGTATAGAAGAACTGACTGACTTGACGTTTGTATTGAAAATCCGAATTTTGTTGTTGATACTGAGTGACGAAGATTTCCAGATTACTGGAACCAATACATGAACATTAATGAGATACTCACTAGCGACTGACTCTATTAAGGTAGGTAGGTTGCCTGCGGCTCTAGTGAGAAGTCGTGACCAGTAGGATACAGCAGGTCGGCTGTGAGGACAAAATACTCGTCACCGATGACACTGGCTAGTGGTCACACTATGTCATGAATTGTCACAAGTCGGAATTTATGGACCCAGTGGCTTAATGGTCTACGAGCTCTCTAGTCTTGTGGCCAGGAGGTCGTGGGTTCGAACCCCACTGTGGTGTGGGTGCGTACCACTGAAGAGTCCTAAGCACTAGGACGAAACAGCTGTACAGTGGTAATTAGTTTTCATTTCTCAAGCATTTGACAGTTGGCAGTAAAATCCTCAAGGACACCCACGATTCCGCTTATCGTCAAGTTTCTTAGTGGGAACTTGTGTAGAATCAATCAGTTGTAGGCATTTCAAACACTCACGAGAGAGGGAGCTAGAGAGAGAGAGAGAGAGTAGGAAACCACACCACTAGACGTCATACACTATTTTCTTTTTTGAATAGATTTAAACAAACTGAACAGGGAAAAATGGCTCACAATCTCCAATGAGATGTAGTATTTCAGTGGAGCGGCCAGGGTTGTAGAAAAGCCACCCACGCAGCAAAGCTTCACAATGATGAAATCATCCAGATCAAAGAATCCAAGCTAATTAAGATTATTCATCTGAGCTGCAAATCTTTATTATTATTATTATTTTTATGTATGATGAGAATTTTCTTTCTTTTCTGTTTTCTCCATAGTCTTTGTTATATATATATATATATATATATATATATAAAGTACATACTTAATTGTATAACTACGTCAGTGCTCTATACTATCAGTGTGTTTAAAAGCCTTAGTCTTGTGATATAACTTGTGCTTATGACTGACAATTATCGCCAGTATCACTATGATTATTATGATTATTATTGTCATTAATATGACTATTCTCGTAACTATTTTTATTATTACTATTATTAATAGAGAAAATTTATCACTACGCGAATCAGTTGATATGCTTACACATGCACGTGTCAGTCTGCAAGGTGAATTGACAAACACCGATCAAATGTTAAGTGATGCTCGTTCAGAAATTACCCAGTTAACTGAAAAGTTATCAGCCTATTATCAAGAGAATAAAAATGAGGTAAGTTGTAAGGTGCGGGGTGGGTGTTTTAAAAAAAGTTTTTAGAAAAATGTTTGCTTAAATTATATATTGTACAGTTCTCCTGATTGATTGACTCATTCAATGATTCACTCACTACTCATGCTGTGTCAATCTACGTATTGCTGTCAACTCATTGAAAAAGAAAACAACAACAACAACAGTTTTGTGAATTACGTCAATTACTGTCGTGTGACAGGTTTAACTTACATCATATGGTTTGTTCTATAATGAATTAGTAGTAGATAAAAGTACTTGAGTGTTAGGTGGGACCACTTAATTAGAGATTTCCTTCCTCCTGAGTAAATTAATAGCACTAGAGAACTGGTGGTTGTCTGTTTGGAAGTGACATGCTTTTCTGTTTTGATTTGTCTGTGGTGATATCTTGGATGGACATGCACCTGCATTTCACAGTGACTGATGGTCTTCTTAGTGACACCCATCATCATCTCATACGCTAAAGTATTATCTAATAATTCACGAGAGTCACCCGTCTTATGCAATGAAGTGATAAGTGAAGGGTTTGAGTCTCAGTGAGCAAAGCATCAATCACTGATTGGGGACTTATGCAGGTTTATCTAGATGATGAGGAGGAGTCCCAATTAGGACGAAATCTGCATATGAGCTCAATAATCCAAAACGATCGAATGGTGTATCAGCTTGGTATTGGTCATTGGAAACGATGGGAATGTAGCTAGCTGCTGACTCTGCTCCGTTGTCTTGTCAAGTCAAGACTTCAAGTCAAAGACTCTGCTGTGGAATTGCCGCTTAAGACAACCATTTGCTACGGTTTGGGCGCGCCCCGCAGTATCCTTGACCTGGCACTAACAATAAAACAACAGCACATAAGGAAGTCGAATTGTGAGCTAATGCTCACGAACTACAATAATATTTTTAGCGGCTGGCTTCTTTTTTAACATTATTTTCATGCGTAGACTTTTGTGTTTTATGTTTAGTATCCCCATTATGGATAAGATTTTATTTTGATAAATCACACAGTGTTTTTAGACAGTAATATTAACTGATGACAACGCTCCCAGCACAAATTATTGCTCATTATCATATCAAGTTACTCACAAAACGTTTTTACTTCATTTGTGTGGAATTGACTAGATATTGTAATAAAAATCAATATGAGATAGTGTACATTCAGAAATAATATAATTTACCAAATACCTTGCAATGACTGTGAGGTCAACTATATATGTCAAACTAGTAGATCGGGGGTAATCAGATTGTCGGAAAATGAGAATTTAGCTAAGGTAATAATGGTTGACCTCGAGAAGATAAGTAATTTAGAAAGAAGCTCAGCAACTGCACTACATGCACTACATGACCGGGTTTTGGAGCAAAATTTATTGCTGCTCATTATCACATCAAGGCACTACTCACACAACTTTCTTGCTTCATTTATACACCTGAGTAAAACTGATACATATTTAGACTTTAATTCATCTCATCCGTTGTCTGTCTGTATGAAGGCTGGCTTAGTTAAGTGTCTAAGAGAGCGAGCAATTTCACTAATAAGTATAACAAAAACCTAAATGACGAAATGGAACAGACAGAAGAGGCACTGGTGTTAAATAACCAACTGTCCTATAAAATCCATTAGGAAGATCAGGAAAGGTCAAAAACAAAATAAAAATAATTGTGAAACTAGTAATGATAACATAAATAGGAGAGCAAATAAGTCATCCACTGCTCTACCATATAAGGTGGGGACATCTGACACCCTATGTGGATTCCTACTAAAGCACGAATTAGGGTGGGACAAGCAGCTCTGTAAGTTAACGGATCCTGTAGGTTGACCCAATTAAATGAAATAATGTAATTTACAAAACACCTTGCAATGACTGTGAGTGAGGTCAACTAAATAGGTTAAACTAGTAGATCGGGAGTAGTGAGATTATCAGAACATAAGAATTTAGATAAGGTTAGAATGATTAACCCCACCGGCAAAGATAAGTAATTCAGAAAAATACTCAGCACTGAACTGTGCTGTATGCATTAACACACAACTACACAATAGGGTGGTGGGACAGAGTCAAAATTCTAAAAAGCAATATAGACAGGTGGAGCGCGAGAGACTGATTACTGAATCCTGCATGTTTCATCGAGTCTATACCCTACACGTGCAGTAGAAGTGACACGATGCAAATACTAGAGATATGGAAGATATTATTACTAACAGTCAATTTAGAGGAAAATGAATAATGTCAAAATGTATTCAATTCACATTGTAACATTCTAACAAGTTATTTATTACTGCGTCGGTGGCACAGTGGTTAGGACTCTCGTCGATCATGCACATGGTCCGGGGTTCGATCCCCTGCCGGCGCACACCCGATATCTATGGTATGCCTGAATTTGGGCAACCGATATCCATGCTGAAAATTCCACACTTGTACTGAAAATACGGTGTGGAATCAAGCTGTAAATCAAAATAAAAAATAAAAAAATAAAGATATCTTATTTCCCATGCCATTGGAAAACCTGGGAGTACTGGACAGCTGTTTCTATCTTCCCGGTTTGGGACTCTTCATCAGTACGCACCCACACCACAGCGGGTTTCGAACCCAGGACCTTCTGGTTACAAGGCTAGCAAACTAGCTCGTAGACCATTAAGCCACTGGGACTCAATCCAATGGCCAGTCCATGAATTCTAGCTTCTGTCAATTCATGACATAATGTGACCACTTCGCGATGTCTTCTTCTTCGATGATTTACTGCCTCACCTTCAACTTGCTGTACTCTATTGGTCACGGCTTCCCTTTAGGACTACAGGTTAACTGCCTGAATAGGACTAGTCGCTAGTGAACACCACATCGATTTTCAAGTATTTGGTATCTGTAACGATTTGTTTGATTGGTTGGTTGGAGGATGAAACAGCTGTTCAGTACTCTCAGCTAGTTTCCAGTGTTTCTCTAACTGACATCAATCTGTAATTAAACTTCGAAGAAGGAGAAAGATACAGGCCATTGGATCGGGTCCCAGTGGCTTAACGGTATACGAGCTAGCTCGCTAGCCTTGTAACCAGAGGTCCTGGGTTCGAACCCCGCAATGCGGGTGCGTACTGCTGAAGAGTCCTAAGCACTAGGACGATAGAAACGGCTGTCCAGTACTCCAGCGCTGGTTTTCCAGTGGCTCATGATGAAATCATGTAACCGATCAAATCCTTACAAACCAACAGTTGAAGAAGAATAAGTCTTTGCTACACACATAAATATCCATTGATATTGATATATTCGATCGTGAAAGTTAAGTTCGTAGAAGAGATAGGCACTTGCGTCAATGGTACATTATATATATATATATATATATTTTAAAATAGTAACATTTATCGTCATCATTGCATCATCACCGTCACCACTATCACCCATCATTCCATTATCAAAACAACAGGGATATAAAATGATTTAAAAATAAATTGAGGAACGAGTAAACAAGTTACTAACCACTGTGATAGACATTGTCAAATCTGAAGTACGATAACTACAACAATAATAATAATAATTACGTGTTTTTGTGTGCGTGTGTATGGTTTTTGTGTATGTGTATATGAGAGAGAGAGATAGGAGCAAGCATAATGGGTGATAACTAGGACTGCTGGAGGATTTCATTACACGTGTTGATATATATATTTAAAAAATTACTGTAGTGAATTCTTCTTATAATCAGATATAAGTAGTATATCAATAAACGAATGCAGAAAAGCAACAAGAGAGAGAGTGTTTCGAACACTGGAAAATTAAAAGCGGTCGACGAAGAAGAGAACTATGAGGAGAACGTTAGAAACACTGTGCAGAATCTAACAAGCTATCGAATTGGGTTGATTTCTTTCGACCAATTTGCATTGTGGTGATATATTGGTATACCAAATTTATGTAGCTATAATGATTTTTTGTCCTAATAAACATATTCCTTCCAGCTTCATCGGTCCTTTTTTTTCTTACATTGCTACTCCTTACTTAGTCATTTTGTGTAACATTATTACCTCAGATCCTCAGAAGAAGAAAAAAGAAAAGTCTTATTGTTTTAATCCTTGTACTGGGAAAACCTTTGAAAGTTAATATTTTGAGTTTTATGCTCACAAAATTCCATTATGGATAAAATTTTATTTTGATAAGTCACACAGTATTGTTATACAGTAATATTAACTGATGACCACGTTTCGAGCACAAATTATTGCTGCTCATAATCATATCAAGTTACTCACACAACTTTTTCCTTCATTTATAAACATGTGGCGAATTGATTAGATAATTTTTTTTATTACAGCTTGATTTCACACCGTATTTTTTGGTAGAGGTATGGAATTTTCAGCATGTGATATCGGCAGCCCAAATTTTGCAGGCCGACCTTGGATATCGGGTCTGTGTCGGCAGGGGATCGAATCCCGGACCATGTGCATGGTCGGCGAGAGCCCTAACCACTGTACCACCGACGCACATAAGGGCTGCCTATTACTCGGCTAGCCACAGGCAGGATAAATTTGATTTTGGAATAAAAATCAATATGAGATAATGTGCATTCAGAAATAATAATACGAGTGTTATTGATCAATTACAATTAGATGGGAAATAAAACGAGTGCTTTTATAGTAAGTGACTTGTTCGAATGTTGTGATGTGCTTGAATTGAAATAGAATATTAATATTCAAGCACATCACTACATTCTAACAAGTTACTTATTATGACTGAAAAAACACTCGTCCTATTTCCCATCTGATTTATCTAATTGACCAATAACACTCATATTATTATTTCTGAATGTACATTATCCTATGTTGATTTTTATTCCAATATCTAATAGATTCTACACATGCATATAAATGAAGGAAAAAGTTGTGTGAGTAGTGCCTTGATATGATTATGAGTGGCAATAGTTTATGCTCGAAACGTCATCAGTTAATATTACTGTATAACAAACACTGTGTGATTTATCAAAATAAAATCTTATCCATAGTGGAGTTATACTCTACCATCAGAGTGCCCAAGTTTTATACTTATATCAATTATGCTCACAAACATTGTGTCCTATTGTCGAAAATAATTTAGAAAGAGATTCTGTGTATGTGTAAAGATTAACAACTTAGATTATGAGTCTTTTCTCTAGGAATTTCGACCAATTTCAGTAGCGAACCAATGTTGGTTGGAGGAGACGAAGTATTGAAACCCCGGGGGGGGGGAGTATTTGACAGCTGTTTCGGCCTAGTTGGTGACTATATATTCACCAGTGAGCAGTCACAACTCATTACCCTACGAGAAATGCATATTCACAGTGCACCGTAATGGCGAGGCACCTAGCATATTGGCCACATTGCAAACATGACTGATAGAATTCAGTCTGCACCGAAGACAGGACTAGACACATTACACTAGTTACTGACGAGTGTGCAGTCAAAAATATCCAATGCAGTCCTACAGGAGGTCAGTCGCGAGCCTGAATAGCTCAGTGGTAACGTCTCTGACTGCAGCACTGGGTGATTCGGGTTCGAATCTCAGAAGGGAGATCAGTTCCTTCAAGGTTGCAGATACGCCTTGCTGACTGGTGAGTGCCAACTAGCACGAAACCTAGGTGGTGTCCAAGGCTTCCTTTGGCCGATTGCCTCCAACCATCTAATACCAACAAATGCATATTCTTCCTATCAATCTTCAGCTTGTTGATGGTTACTGGATAGATTTCGTAAGGCGCTGTACTGAGAAATCGTGACCAATGGGAAGCCGTTATGTTACAATCGAAGAAGATAACGCTATATATCACGAATTACTGGGAGTTAGGATCCAGGCATCATTGAATTCTCGCCTAAGTAGATGTCTGTCTGGATTCAACATAGAACTTGGCACCGAAGTGCAGCAGTTCGAGTTGCCACGTTCCAAATAGCACACACCATTAAGTAGAGGAGTTGCATCAGTAGAAGGAAGGCAAGATAATAGAGATGAAGATGAAGATAAAGGTGAGTGAGGAATAGAGAGGTTTCGTATGCTCTTCGGGTTGTGAGGGCGATTGTTGCTTCCCGGCTGCCCACACCGTGGAAGTTGGTTGCGTGACCGCAGAGCCCAGGGGACAACTGCTTGAGGCCGGTCACACACGGCCTGTTTTTGTTTGTTCTTTTTTATTTGGTGTGTCTCAGTAGCGTATTTATCACTTCTGCCCTGTGACACGGCAGCAGAAAGCGCGGTCGTTGTTAATCCGGGCCCCGACCGATCCGGCATGATATTTTGTGATTTGTATGAAGTCATTGGATTGGGTTGGGTAACTGCTTTTAGTCTAACCGCTATCCGAACAACCTTCCTGGCATGGTAGGACCTGCAGGAACATAAGTTCCAGCCAGTATAGCTTGTTGGGTCATTGCGGTGTTCAAGCCCGACCACCACGTCAAGGTAGCAGCTTTCGGTCGAGCAGTCCAAAGTAGGTGAATGATCAAGAAGCCTGTATTCGTAACCTGGCAGCGGACCTGGATTCAATTCCTGATGCAGTCAGTCCCAGGTGTGCGTACTGTTGAAGAGTCCCAAAGTAGGACTGAATCGCCGTCCAGTGCTCCTTAGTTTTCAATGATCTTTCTAACTGGATGTTCACATCGCTATCTGAGTATTGATCGTAATAAATGCAGTAAAATAAAGACATGGTGTAACGTTTGAATCTCGTAGTTCGTCTGTCGATATTTGAATTTCATATTTGAGGAGTTTAGGTTGTTTAATAAGGATGTCGTGTTAATATATATTTTTCTCTTAAGGGTTGTGGTGTGTGGCAATGCTTTGGTAATCAGTGTATTTACGATGTTATCGTGTTTACTTAAGATATATTCAGAAAGGTTTTCTATGTCAGTATTATTGAGTATAACTTTTTCCTCCACTAAATTGACATCACTTAGATAAACATCGTGAAATAGGATAGTATTGAACGTCTTTTTTGTCATCGTTGGTTCGGACATTTCATCCAATGGCTCCACCAGAGGTTTGAACTCCGGCTTCAGAAGAGATGATGAATACTCCCACCGATGACACTGGCTGGTGCTAGCGCTATATGTGTGACAAATTAACAGGAGGTTAGAATTCATGGACCCCATTAGATTCCGTCAAGTGAAAAGCAACAAGTTGGTAGAAGAAGCATCAAAGATAGGACTTAAGGTGAACATAGAGAAAACAGAGGTAGGTGATGAAGATTCCTGACCAACAGCAACAGACAACAATCAGCATAAATGGGAGGAGTCTAAAAGAAGCAACCTCCTTTGCCTACCCACCTATTGGGCAGCATCGTTCCAACTACAGGCGGATGAAACTGATGAGGATATCAAAGCGAGAATAGGGAAAGCAAGGCAAGCTTTCATTACTCTCAAGTCTGTTTGGAGATCAACATGAAAAATAAGATCCGGATTTTCAACTACAATGTGAATTTAGTGCTACTATACGGATGAGATACTTGACGCCGTGTCATGAAGGGCACTTCGAACAAACTACAGATCTTCATGAACAGCTGTCTTCTCTCAATACTACTCAAGATCAGATGGCCGGCCAGAAAAGATCAGCAACAGGGATCTATGGGAGCGACGAATCAACCAGGTTCCAATTGTGCAACAAATATGCAGGAAGAAATGGAGGTGGATTGACCATACTCAGAGAAAGCCATCAAGTGATATGAAACACCAGGTCATCTCTCGATTCGAATCCAAATGGGAATCGGCGAGTTGGTCGTCAGTGCGAGGGTGATAACATGGAGGGGGTTATAGGAAGAGGAGATGAAGGCATGTGGGAAGACGTGGAGCGAGGTGAAAACGTTGGCAGAGAACCGAATACAATGGAGACGTGTGGCTGAAGCCCTATGTTCCTTTGAGAATTAAAGGAAAAATAATAACAACAATAATTAGATTCCGTCCCAGCTGCTGTTAATGAAATGGTCTCAACGCATCATTTGCTTCATCACCTGAAAGTCGTGGGTTCGACCCCTGGGTGGCTGAGATTTTTGGTGAGTGTATATACTCCTGAAAGGTTCTGGACAAGGAAGAATGGAATAACCAAGTTTCCAGTACTCTTTGATTTTCAATGGCTGTGTAACTGATGTCATTTCGGGATCTAACTCTCATCTTTCCGATGATTCCTTTTCACTGGTGTTTTTACTTAAGATTCTTGATTAAATACTTACCTTATTATGTGACAGTGTACAAAATAGTTTTCTAAAAAAAGCCACAATTTCTATTCCCTATAGGAGTCAAGTAATCCATCTCAACGGAAACGTTTTACACGTTCAGAAATGGCACGTATCTTAGCTGAACGTAATCATTACAAAGAACGTCTACTAGAATTACAAGATGCTGTACGCTTCACAGAGACCCTACGTGTTGGTCAAAAAGGCCATCCAGATTTATTATCGAAGATCATTACAACACCATCACAACAACAACAACAGAAAGGTGATACAGTTACACCAGTCAGTGGACCATTACAAAGTTTACAAAAATTGTAAGTCTTTTTTGTTGAAATTTAGGCCACACACTTATTGCCGCCATTTTGATTTTTGATTAAAACAATTAGTTCCCTTTATATGAATTTAGACAAAGCAATAAGAAGACGTAATTTGTCTGTCTGAATCGTGTATTGTATTTACGCAACACATTTCGAACAATCTGATCACACTCGGACTTGTGATAGGAATATATATGAAATTAATAAAAAGGTAAGAGGTGAAGTTAAAAGGAAATATTGTAGGTCAAAATAACAATGAAGATCACTAAACCAAATAACAGAGGTAGTAGTACATCTACCGTGGCTGGTATCAAAACAAAATTTACCAAGGAAGGTAGGTTTATTGTGATGACAAATTGTTCCTTTGAACGCAAAAGGGTGGTTTAAACTTCCTAATTGCCACAAACTTTAGGATACGCCCTCCCCAAAACACTTTTTATAGATAGGTTTAAAAGATCTGTTAATGTCCTGTCTCTATAATATGTTTCGCAATAGAAGAGCTAGGTCTCCTGTTCTCACCATTAATAGGTTCTAAAGATTCCATTTGTTTCTGGAGCCATTTAGGAATATGCTCTGAAGCCAGTCCTTACTTGCAGAGATCGATGAGTCCTCCCTATGTTTGTGTGTTGCACACGTACATTCAAATTGGTAAATACAGGGGGATGTGACATCATTTTTCGCATGTTTTAAGTACTTGGATATATTGGCTTCACATGATCTTAGCTGCATAAAAAGTCTTTTTAACAGCAGCGTTCAATCTTTTTCGGGTTATCAAGCTTCTATGACCCCCCATATAGGGTAGCTTGATGTACACGTCTTTCTTAGGGGCAAGTTGGAGAGTGGGTCTTGGTGTTCTGACTACTTTATATCTCCTGATGAACTTGTCTGAATAATCGTTATCAACCAGAGTTTGTGTCAACTTTCTTTCTTCTTCATCAAGAGTGTCTTCAGTGCATATTCGTTGGATTCTACTGAAGAGACACCTTCCTAAGGCTGTTTTGTACCGAACAGGGCAGAAATTGTGGTAATTAAGATACTGTCCTGTCCAGGTAGGTTTTCTATAAATAGATCTTTTTATTGACCCATCAAGCCATTGACTAAGCAATATGTCTAGGAAAGATAAACAATTATCTTCCTCTTCTACAGATGTAAGTGATATGCTATTCTGGACTTCATTCATTCGTTTTAAAACTGAGGTGGCAGAACAGGACTTATCACTTATGATTACAATGTTATCTACATACCTTCTAATAAAGTGGCACATTTTCAATTAAAGCCTCCGATTAATTCTCAATATACAACATAAATTTCTGCTAAAAGGGATCCTAACGGACTCCCCATAGCAACGCCATCAACTTGGTGGAAACAATCGCCTTCAAATGTAAACCGAACATTGTTAGTACATAGAAGTAATAAATCTCTTAAATAAGATATAGGGAACGGAATAAAAAAATTGTAATCACACAAAGTGTCAACTGTTTTGAGCAAAGGCACATTAGTGAATAAAGAGTTTACATCGAAAGAGAGTACATATTATTATTCATAATATTAATATCATCAGATTATTCGAAATGTGTTGCGCAAAAATACACATTACACGATTCAAACAAATTACGTCTTCTTATTGCACTGTCTAGATTATGAACTTGTTGATTGATTTAGTCATTAACGCAATCGTACTCCTCTTTTTGAAAAGTGACAGTGAAATATGTCAAAATGGGTATCAGGAGGTCTACACCGACAGTTTAACGTATCACAGCGTACTTGCAACGGCAGAACACAGTAGTATTTCGTTGCAGAATCCGTTTATTTGACTAAATTCAGTATACCCTAATGCATTGCAATCTCCATTTACACATATTCTTTGTATTTTGCTCCTATTTTGTCCTCCTTTCATGTTTTTTTCTACATATTATTTCATACAAGGATCTCCGCGCTATTAAAGATTCTCGTAAAAATTCGCCTATACACTATATACTACTTACAAAATCGTGTTAGTAACACACGCTACATGGTGAAATAAAATATAATTAGGTCATTTCAGAAACTCTTGAAGTTGTAACGATGATGATGATATTCAAATATTTGTGTAGAAAATCTGTAGCAGAGGAAACAAATGCATTTAAGACACTCCAATCTATTCACCACATCACACTCTGAGCACTGCAAGCATCCTGTCTGATCATAAAATTGAAGTCCACTTTTCTCATTATGTTGATATATTTTTGTCTACTGTGTATTTACTCTTTTCGTATCATGCCAACTGCCTTTCGGGAAAGGAGTAAGAGTGTAGAGTTTTTTTCGCGAGCTGCCCCAGCGACTGATTCAGTCCCAGAACGAGCTCCCCAAGACGGTTTTTCATCATAGTTACATCTCAGGACACCCTTGGTGCCACTCCTCCAGCTGGTACGTACAGGCACATCCTCTCAGGGACACGTGCGCATTGGAGCCAACCTAACCTTGACTCAAGGCACAAGATCCCGGCTGCCACGCCACTACCCACAGCATAAGACACTGCTTGAGTATGGCCTCGGCTAACAACATGCACCACATTGCGCCTCGCGGTTTGGGTTACCATCTCTCACAGCCACTCGCTAGCCATTTGTTATTGGCCCCGGTCCTCTCATCAAGAATCCCGCAGATCTATTGGCCCCGCCGATGCCCCGTACACCGTCATAAGGCCGATGGACGGCACTGCTGCCTCATCAAGACTGAGTAACAAGACGCGGATGTTGTCCCATGCAAGTGACAGGTCTTTGCTGGAGCTTGGTTTGCCCGCCGATAAGGCCCACCCAGCGGTCGCCACGCGGAGGCGCCTGCCACATATAACCATAACCCTCGTCTCGCCATTTCCCATGCTCGGTTGAGTTTCTTCACGTTGACACTCAGACCACTGAACGGAACTTCGTAGCCAAATGTAGACTTAACAAGAGAAGCCAATATTGGAAAACACACGATGGTCTAAGGATGTCGGTCTTCGCACCGCATGTAGGGCCCCTCCTAATGAGCCTAACATTGATTAGATGACGAGGCATTTAGCTACCTTAAGAGAGTCATAGTTACACCCGCCAGCTCTCGTTATGTTGGTGTATTTTTGTCTATTTATAGTACAGAAAAAGTTACCTCATCACTTCAACTCTTCTGGTATTATTTTAAATTCATGCCTGATGCTTAACGGTTACATTGTTTATTTATTGTTATTATTCCTATGGGTTCCGATTGGAATGAATTAAGGGCTTTAACAACACATCTGCAATCCATTCTGTTCTCTGTAGGGTTTTTTTTATCTGGTTCCACCCAAGATTATTCATAAGCTTTCGATTCTTCATTGCATGATTTTCTCCATGTTATTTTTGATTGGACACTAGTCAGTAACTAGTGTTCAATGTGTGTGTGTGTGCGTGTAGTCCTATCTTTTGTGCAGACTGAATTCAATCAGTCAGGTTTGTAATGGGCCCACCATGCCACTAGGTGGTGGCTCGCCATCACAGTACACTGTGAATTATTGGTGTTAGATGGTTGAAGGCAATCGGCAACAGGAAGCCTTGGATACCACCTAGGTTTTGTGGTGCTAGTTGGCACTCACTAGGCAGCAGGGCGTATCTGTAACCACCTTGAAGGAACTCATATCCCTTCCGAGATTCGGACGAGTGCCAACCAGCACGAAACCTAGGGTCAGGCAAGGCTTCATGCCGATTGCCTCCAACTATTTAATATCATCAAATCAATGTGCACTGTGTTGGTGAGCCACCTAGTGGCATGGTGGGCGCATTGCAAACTTGACTGATAAAGTTCAGTCTACAGTAAACAAAGGACTAGAGACATCACACTAGTTACTAGTATCCAATGAAAGTATCCAATACAGTCCAACAGGAGGTGAATCGCGAACCTGAATAGTTCAGTGGGTTCGGGTTTGAATCTCGGAAGGGACATGAGTTTCTGTCTCGATGTATCTATTGATTGATGATTCACTGGAATACCAGGTAGCCTTCTAAAAATTCTCTAGCATTCTTGTTGTTTCTTCTGTCTAATATTTGAACGTCGTCCCAGTCTAATTGATGTCCGTGGTTGTCTGTATGTATTGGCCAATGTAGTGTGACTTTGACTAATAGTGGGTGGCTAAATGTTTCACCCAATGATAGTTCCCCAAACTTAATTCACACTTGAATTCGCTCTGAAGATATTGTTCAGAAGGACAATAAAAGCTTCACAGTTCAACTGTCTAGCTCAGATGACACACCAATATTAAAAAAACTAGAACAAATTCTACCTTGTACTTGACAAGGAGTCTGTATGAATGACTGGAAAGATGAATAGCCTTCTGAAAAAAATGCAATGATTAAACCTTACACTTTGACAATGGAAAGAAGAGTTAAGTATTTACAGTTTAACTGATTAAAAATGCCCATTAAAATTGTTTTCAAAAGAATGGATACTGAACAAAGAGTACTCTTTTCGATAACCCCTTCATCATCAGGCTCTACAGTTATATATACAACATTATAGTGAATGAATGAATTAGTGTTATGAACAACATTAATGTTGTTTAAATAATATCAAATCAAAATATTGATAGATTACAGCTCAATAGCATCCACATAACAATAAACTGAATGTCAGACGGATAAATTAGAAAAGATAATATTACAAATTCATGAATTTATAGTCTCTACTGAAGGCCAGTCAGGGCAGTAGTAGGGGATAGCTGGACTTGCTTCTTCTTTTGAACACAGAGCACCGGTTGTTTGAGGCGAATTGCGCTAGCCTTACATTTAAACTTGGTTCATTCATCTTGTTACAAAATCTTATTGAAACTGTAAAATGTGTGATAAGCTGATTATTTACTCTTCTCTGGGTTTTTTATCACTTAAATAAGGACACTTTTATTTTTTAGTGTGTGTAGTATGAATCAGTTGTCTTCAATGCTACTCGTTTTTGTCGTGTTTGTGTGTGTGTTGGTAAATCGTTCTCTAGGTACCTTTTTTAGTTCGTTTTTC